AACCTCCTCTTGGGTCATCTCATTAGTCTCCTCAAGCTTCGACGAAGCTCTCACCGTATCTCTTCCTGGGTAGACTCGAGCATATATCTTCTTGGTGGCATGGTTTAGGGTTTGAGATTTGTTGAAGTGGAAAGGGTATTTTGGTGGTAGGAAAGAAATTTTTTTGATTATTGTGGATGCTAGGAAACCTTATGATAGGACCAGAATTAGACTAGCTCAGATACCAAATAATACCGGAGTTAACCCAAATCACAATAGAAATAGAAATATAAATATTATTGCATAATTCAATGGGTTACAATGATGACACTTCAAACAAGAAATAAATGATAACAAACATAAAACGGCGTCAGCAAACATCACTAAAGTGTTTCCCACAATAGTGGTGGTCGGCTAGGTGGATTGGGGTGGTTGGTGGGGGTGGTGGCAACAAAGGAAGGTTGATGATAGCGAGGGGGAAGTGCAAAAATGCATGTACAATGTGCATGGTGGCTGTCTGGGGTGATGGAGACGAAGAGTAGGGGTGGATAGCTTGAGGACAACAGGATGGAGGGGTTCCTAGTTGTCCTGGACGGCAACAACGCAATGAGAAGGCTGGGACAATGGTGACGAGGGGCGGTTTGGGCGACAACAATGCTGGAGGGCGGGGGGGCGATGACAGCTAGTTGGTGGAGGATTGCATGCAAAAAAAAAAAAAAGGTGACTTGCAGACGGTTGCAGACTGCTGCAGAGAGGTACAACGACATGGAGCAACGTGGGTGGCTGCGAAAGAGAAACAGGGAAAGATAATCATCACCTTGGGAGAGGGATACAACCGGAGCACCACCCAAATGCTCGAAGGGGAAACAGACGTCGGCGATTGTCTGGACAGACCTCTGAAAGAAAGACACAATAATCTACCCTAAACTCAGTAAACATGCATATAAATAGACTTCAATCTTGTGGGAAACATAAGAGGAAAAAAAAGAAGCAGTGTGTGGCAAATCTTGACCCCAGTAGGCGGGAATTGAGAAAGGAAAGGCAGGCATGGCGTGAGCAGCAACTTTCGACTTTGATAAAGGCAAGGAAGAAAGGGATTAGGATTTTCCGGCGTCAGCAACAAGTTCCTTGTATGAGAAAGCCGATCGGTCCAGCTCCGTCGAACCTTTGCCAGAATAGGGGAAGAGCTAGGATGGAGTCGTTCCTTCCTTTGGAGATCTTCTTCATATGAGAAGTTTTAATGGCTATTCTCTGGATTTTTCTTGCCTCCCCATTGCTTCCTTTGTGTGAGACTTTCCTTCTTTTTTTCTTTCCTTTTCTTCGTCAATGAGAGTCTATAAATTTCAGTTCTCTAGTTGTAGGGGCAGTTTTGGTGTGAGTTACTTTTAGATTCGTTTGTGAAACTATTCTCTTATTTTAGGGCTGTATCCGAGGAAGCCGTGGCGCTCCGGTTGTATCCTACTCTAAGGTGGTGATGTATCTTCCCCTATCCTCCTCCCTACCTCTTCTTCTTCCCGTCCATTAGCCGCCTGCCATCCCCATACCATCCCAGCTGTCCTGCCGACCCTTTTTCGCCCTTGTCTTGTCGTTTAGCCTTTCCACTCAGCCTCCCAACACCCTATTCTCCTCCAACCTGTTGCTGGCCTTACTGTCCAGCACTCTCAGCAGCCCCTTGCATCCTATTGGGTCCCTCACAACAGCTTTTCTTGCTGCCTGACACACCTCACCATCACCCAGCACCCAGCACCCCTCACCACCCTTCCTTGTCACCTTACCTATCACCCCACTCACCCATACCCCCAAACCAACCACCAACCACTAACCACCCTTCCAACACATCCAACAGCCCTCAACCACCCTTCTCTTTTTCCCTTATCGCTTCGCCGACACCCCCTCCGCCCTCGGATCTTTTCTTCCGGTCCTAGCTGGAGATTGGTTTGCTATTGTATTTTCCCTTTCCGTTTCTTTCAGGTTGTAATCCTATTTCATTATTAATAAAATTTGCTTTTGTTTCCACTGATTTTCTTACTAGTTCCGGTATCATTGTATTGCATGCATCATATGGTTAATGGGAAGTTGTCTTCATTAGCTTTTGATAAGGCAGACTTAAAAGTTGTTTGTTTATTTTTTTTTTGTGGCTTGGTGGTCATGGGGTCTGAGTCATGAAAGCAATTTTTATGAAAAACAACGATATGGAAGTATGCATCAACTCCTTTGTGGAACACCATCGTTATAATGTTATTGGTAAAGCATGTGATTATTAGTTTCATCGTCCATTATGCTTTTTTGAAGGAAAAATCCAAGGGCCTTCAAGGAAGATAAAAGAAAAGATATGTGAGGAAATTACAATATTTGAAATATTAGCATTCAAGTGAAATTAAGGAAAGAAGGAACCCACAAATTTTGCATAGTAAGACCCCTTTTCATTGAATGGGAACCCAGGATTTCTCATATTATCATTGCTAATCTCCGCTTTTTCTTCTTGTGAGGGTACATCTAGAAATGGACATTCCTTGGACATGCTTGGTTATATTTTTTTTTCGTTTGTATCTTTCTTATGAATTGTTGTTGTGACTTTTGAGTATTGCTGTATTTTGGTCCTTTGTGTTGTTTGTCATTTCTCATAGCTGTTGTGGCCTATGCCATATATCAGGTCTTTGTATATTTTTTTTTAACTCGAGCCAACTTTACCACTCTACTTTTTTTTTTTTTTGCTAAAATTTATCTTTTTTACCGCCCGCTAACCATTATCACTAAATTAATATTTAGCTTTTCCCCTCAAAATCCCCATTCCCCATCACCATGTATATTCTCTTATGTGATTTAAATTGCCTTGATACATAATCAATTAATTACTCTCATCCTGGTTTGGAGTACATTGAAACCCATTCAATGGTGCATCACTATAAATCTAAAATTGTTATGTTCTTAGTGAGATAACTAATATCAGTTAAGTTGTCAGATGCTTTTTTAATTCTTTAAAAAGTTTCTTCTTTTTTTTTTTAATCTTTTCAAACTTATACCATTGCTTTCAACTTCGGAGAATCAACTAATGTTCTTTCATCAATTCTTTTGTGTCTCAATAATAATATACTTCTCAACCAAAATTCACAAGTGAAATTTTAAAAATTATTTTTTCCTCAATAATTTAAAATTATGCTTGTAGAGTATATCAAAATATTACCAATGAATACAATTACAAATTGATCAATGTATAATATGAAATTTCATTCATCAGATACATATAAATTGCATGTTCTTTTGTTAAGCCAAATGGCAATATTGCAAATTCAAAATGATCATACTTGTTTCCAAAAGCTGACTTTATTTTACTTTATATTTTTCTGACTTGATAATATTTTAATCACAAATCAATTTTGATGAAAATGGAAGCACCTTTTAATTTATCAAATAAATTGCCATTCATTGATAGTGGATATTTTTTTCATAATAATGACTTTCTTAAACTTCTTAATCAATGCACGTTCTCAGATACACATTTCTTTTTACAAAATATGCATGCACACTTCAATGCGAATTACTTGGTTTAATGAATCTTTTTCCATCAATTCTTATAATTTACATTTTAATTCTTGCATTTTTTTTTAAGTTTTCCGATGAAAAGATCTGAATGTTTCTAATATTTGTAGTTGTAATTCAATCTTAGCTTTAACTACTTTTTCAGGTGGCAGTGGCAGTCCAAGTAATAAAAAAAAAAAACCATCACTATGAAAGTCTACTATAACTAGAAAATTTTTTAACTACTTATTCAATTTCTTCTTCTTTGCCAAGAGCGCTATGCCGCCATTTCTAGTCTATTTTTTAGTTTTTATGATACTGGCTAGGGAAGATGCTACATTCTTATTACGTGAAAAGTAGAATAATTTCTTATTAAGCAACTTAAACTTAACTCTTCTTCCAATATTCAAAGTGGCAAAGTGTTTAACGAGCTATTCCATTCCCGAAATTTCATCGAAGTCATCATATGTATCATAATAAATTGTGCTGATAATTTCTTAACTTGGATATCTACGTCAGTAATATATTTTCTTTTTGCATATATATTTTCTCCACAAAGCATTATAACACACAATGCAGATACAAGATTAATTTCAACTGATAAATTGGTAGAAAAAAATTTGATTTAAATAAACTTGAAGTTACATAATCAAATACAACTGTACCAAATAAATTAGAAATCAAAAGTGTAGTTATAACTACTTGTGATTCATTGGCCTATCACAGTTTACTGACGAAAATTCTCATTTTTACTGGTTGGTTGATCTACTTTTGTAAAGCTACTTCATTAATCTGTTCTAGTAACTTTCCATAGCATTGAATCTTTCCTTGTTACCCTCTTGAAATCCCTTTTGTTGGCTTGTTCCTGATACTTTTTTGGCCTGTTGCCATTCTTTTTCAAAGGACAGTCCATTTTATTGTTTTTTTACTTATCCAGACTTGTAATACTTAAGTGTTGATGGTGGAGTAAATTAATCCTTGAACATTCTCATAAATCCCCCTGAATCATTGATAATGACTTCATCCCAAAGTTCTTATGGTGTGCTATGTCTGCCTGATTCCCTTAGCTTTTTCTTCTAATACAAAAACTGCAAATATAACCCTTCTATTATCAAGCCAAATCATAGTATGCAACTTTTATTTCTTTTTTTACTAGCCAATCTCGAGAAGCAGATGACTTGATCCTTTAAATGTAAATGACTTGAAAGTTTGAAATATTCTCTAGTGCTGTTAATCTGATTTTTGTATCAATTTTTCTTTTTCAAATTTATGTCAAAATTATATTTTGACATTTGTTGCTTAACTATTTGTTTGTTAGTGATGCCTAATGCTATAAATAGGGGCATTAAAGTCACATTGCATAACTCATCTTGCAAATTTGGTTTAGCTTTTTGTTTACTGTAGCTATTATTCATTCAACTTCCACAAGCCATCAATATATTTCCTAATGCATAGCTTTTGTCATTATATATAAGATAATATTAATTAAGCTGACTTTTCAGGTGGAAAGCTCGTTCATTGGCAGTTTTGACAGATCTAAAAAATCTAAATGCTGACTTCCTCTGTGTTCAGGTGTGCTTCCTACTTTTTGCTTTCAACCATACAATTATATTGTCCTCACTTTATGACGCGCGTGCGCGCGCGCGCACACACACACACACATACAGTGGTGGAGTTAAAAAAAAATTTTTAAGCGGGGTCACAAAGTAGAGATTACAAAATTAATCTGATCTATCTATAACAATGCTATCTTCAATGGAAAATAATAATCAGTGAAATTGCAAGTGTATGTTCCTAATATAAAAAAAAAAAATATTTTATTGGATAAGGCCTGATGTACAAATTGATTATTTTATTTATAATATAAGAGCTTTTTATAAATTAAGGCGTAAATCTCTATAGGTCAACTGTCCAAATTTAGACATGCAAAAATAAAATTTTCTTTCCAAAATCAGCGAGTTGAGCTATTCAGAGTTGAAACAAATAAAATGTGCAGGTTTACAAATTTAAAAACAATTAAAATAAGACTTTCCTGCTCCCTAACACAACCAAATGAATGCCTGTAAATTTGTATTAATTTTTTTTCATGGACCTTATGTTATCTTATAAAAGTGTTCTTTGGATCACAACCAAAGAGATAAAGGAGAGATTTTTAACATTTTAAAACACCTTCTCTCACTGCTCCTTGATGGCGACTCACAAAAAAATGAGCTAGATAACATTGTTTCTAATCAAGTTTCACTATTTCGATTCGATGTAGTCTCTTTTTCTTCTTTTACACTTTAAACATCTCTTAAATTCCCGCAAAGTTGAGGCAATTTTATAAAATTAATTAAATCTTAATCATATGTGGATCCTACATACTGTCTGTGTACTTCTCCATCAAATCTCTCAATAAATGTAACTTCTATAATAGATCTGCTCGACATAAATCCAAACTGATTATGAGAACCCAAAACTTCTCCTATCTCTAGTTGGGTTTGGTGGAGGGGGTGG